TCCGCTGCTACTTTTGCGCCTTCTTCCTCAGAAATACAACTTAAAGGTCCCAATTCCTATAAAGGTAAAGGTCCCAACTGGTATAAATGTGGCACAGGAAATCAAAAAAATTTCCCCCATATGTTCGATTTTTTGATTTCCTGCACCAAATTTATAGCAGTTGGGACCTTTATTTGGTCATTTTTAAAAGTTTTGTCTAATTTTTGCTCTTTTTTAAAATCTTGCATTCCATTGGCTATTTTTTTTTTATTTTTTTAGCAACCATGTGAGAGTGTCTAACTTTAGCTTTCGAAGATTACTGGCATGAACCTCCAGCCTAATTTTGAGTCTTAAAGTAGCGCAAGCCACAAATCCGAACATGTCTAACGCAGACATCACGGCGATTTATCGATCTCAAACAAGCTCCTTTCTACTGTTTCTTCAAGCCTCAGTGCTTCCGTTCACAAGTGCAGGCTGGCATTAGAGTTTCAGGATATCAAAGTCGAAAATCAGGCTTTCCTTCTTCCCACTCCAGCGTTCGCTCGGGAAGCATTTCAGTGATAGCAACTGTCAAAAGCAACCACGTGTTTGCTTCCTCAAAAAAAAGCTGTCGAAGGTTTTCTCTTTCAAGGGCTCGTCACGACGAGTAAGCTGATGGCGAATTTTTCTCCCCGGAGTATTGGAACGAGAGAAAGAAATCGTTGGGGGATTTGTTATCCGGCTAGACAATCGTACTCAGTGGATGTAAGGAACTGCACGTTTCGCAGTTTAAGAGATTTTCATTTGATGAAATTAAACAACCCTTCATGATGAAGTGAAATTATGTGATGAGAATGTAGTGATGACGTATATAAAGCTTAAAGAATAATAAATAATTAATGTTTTGTTGTCCTATTCTTGCACCATGAACTCGCAAAAGTTCTCCGCAAAATTCTATGTCCGCTTCGGGCTGTTATTTTGGGGGGCGGGGGAGCGGGGGGTGTAATCATCTAAAAATGATAAATGATGAAACGCGATTTTTCGATAATAAAACTTTCTCATTTTTCAAATACGTCTTTTTCTTGTGTTTATTGCAAGCGCATAAAAATAGAGCTTGTAGTGATAAAAGCCTAATCATGTCCTTATCAATAGCAGAGAACCGGCGTCATATTTGCTATTGTCCTTAGATGCACCAGCATCGTCTCCATTCTTGATTCTGTTAGCTTTTTGAACCAGCACTGATGGCTTAATTCGTTTTTCCATTGTTCGACACTGTTGCAGGCTCAATTTGGTAACATCACAACATACGTACAGGATAAGTGATATTAGCGAAAATACCGGCGATATCGTCTAAAACAAAAAGCTAGGATAAGGTCTCCTTTCGACAAGAGCACCATGGAAAAATTTTCATTTTTTGCCACAATTTTTTAC